AGTTCTTTTTGTAGATGTTCTTGGACCCTCTGTCACACTCATTCCTGGAAGCATCACGACCCCGGCCTGGAAACCAATCCGCTTCATCTGTGTGACACGACCTGGAACCCAGGCCAATTTCCTGCACCAAAATGGTCGCCCATTGGACTCTGATCCTCGATTTAGAGTTGTACGCCTTAACACCAGCGCAGTTGAGGCCACCGCGCCACAGGGACTTTGGGATGCTGATTCTCTTAAAATCGAGTAAGTAGCTAAAAAGACATATATTAATGGCTAGGTGGAAAGAAGGAAAGTCATCCTACTCGATGTTCCAATAACTTAAATTGACTAACCTATGATGAGGATTTAAGTCTAATGAGCAAACCCAAATAAAGATTCCCCGTAAAACGGTACTCGGGGTACGAAGGACTTTGATGGATATGGCAAAAGACGACGGTAGATCAAGAATTCCGAGAAAAAATATTAAAAACAGTAGTGTAACTAATAGCTTGTTTGAATGTTTCAAAAATGGTGTAAGAGAGGGCGCGCATATCAAAAGGTGGTGTGTGATTAGATTGTCGGCGGGCCTAAAACATGGAAGCCTAATTAAGCCTAGTCGGCATCAGATTTCTGGACGTAGGAGCAATTGCTTGAATCCGAACGTAGAGCTCTAACCCTAACCATAAGCCCTAGTCCTAAACCTTAACCCAAATTAACTTTAAACTCTAGCCCTAAGCTTAAGCTATTTACTTTAACGCTAAGCCATTGTCCTAACCGTAACATCTAACCCTAACCACGCAAGCTGCTTGCATAAACCTGAATCCTAACCATCAACCTTATTCCTGGTTTCTAGTCCCTACATTAGCCCTAAAACCCAATCCTAACCGTAAAACCTATCTTCAAGTTTACCGACTAAGCAAGTGCAAACCTCAGCACAAAATGTCTACAGAAGAGGCTGTCTTAACGTAATGAAACCACCGGACTTAGATATTAAATGCCCAACTGACTTACTCATAGTTACACTTTTTGTCATGCAACCGGTTGTTTTAGCTCATCGGGGAATGTCTGATTTTTGTAACTATATATAAATCATGAATTCCTGTTAGGAAGTAATTGACCTGCCACTGTATTGTGTTTCAGCAGCAGACAGAAATAACTCAATCTAATGTTTGAGTGTGACTTGTATAGGCTAACCGAACTCAAAAGTTGGCTTCTGCCATTGATTTGCTGTCGCGAGTATCCGTAGCAGACGCAGCTCAATTGCTGCCAACCATTTCACCAAGTTGCCTGGAAGTAAACTGCGTTAAATTGTCTGATAAGAGGCATTTATCATCAAAACTGTACATCAGTAAGTATAGCAAAATAACTGAATTGGACAGTGCTTTTCCTGATATTTAAATCATAGTGAGAGCTCACATCGGTACGAAAAACATCGAGTAACCAGTCGTAGGCCCGAAAACGGTCAGGACTCCAACAAATAAGCGGGAGGTAATGAGCTAGAGGTCCGCTAGTTCCCTAGGCCTTCAATAAAGTGTTTGTTTCCAGCAGCCGCTTGTCTGCCCCTCTATCACACCTGTCGTGATAGAACACATTCGTACGAAATCGCTTATACCTTAGGTTAGACCGTCCCTACGTTTATCAGCAGAGTCCCTGCAAACCATCAACAATAAATCTTCGCGACTTGACGCCCTAGTGATAACTATTTTTTTGTTATCTCGAGCTCAGTGCGTCTCGTTAGGGCCAGCGAGCGCACTCATGGCGGACGGCAAACAATGCTGTCCTTTCCTTTCTTTAATCCCCATCCCGATGCCCGTCGGGCAAACCGACAGCTAACTGACAGGCGCACTTCCAAGGCTCGATGTTCCCCCAGGCTTGGTTTAGCAGTTGATTTAGTGCCCCCTTTCTTCGGCATTCTGACTGCCGAGTCAATTCCGCTGACTAACAGGCGTTCCGCAAAAGCAAAGCAACCCCC